GTGTGCCACCTCAGTCCTGCCTGTAACGGCTACGACAGGTTGACAGTGGTGGTTGTACCTGCCCTATCAAAGGCCAGTGGGCCTGATGCAACGGAATTCTGTTATAAGGGGCCTTTTATCAGAGAACAGGGGTATCTTGAAAATCTCTTGCGCTATCTCACTCTTAGCCTTTATCCTCTCTTTGCTTCTTACACAGAATACTGACTTAATCGTCGGAATTTTCCCGCCGGGCAAACCCCCCGGGGATTCTTCTTCTTCCTCATCTCAGGTACCTCTCGGGAGACACACGAGTGCCAGCTAGGAGTGACCGGATTGCGCACCATCAACCACCTAAACTCATCCAGCCAAATCTCAGACCTACTAGGACCACCCAAGTCCCCAAACACTTTCAAAATTTCATTTGCCCCACTTTACCAGCCACCAATTTTTTTACAGCTCATCCATTGACAGGCCTTGTTGAACAACAACCATCCGCCTTTACCACTTCCCTGCTACACACCATTGAACCTTGTTCATACAATGAAGCTATTATAGATCCGAAGTGGTGTCAAGCAATGAATGATGAGCTTGAAGCTCTCAGCTGCAACCACACTTGGAACCTGACTCAATTACCTAAAGGCAAAACACCTATAGGATGCAAATGGGTGTATAAAGTCAAGCTCAAACCTGATGGAATTGTAGAACTGTACAAGGCTAGGCTTGTAGCAAAGGGCTACACTCAATTAGAAGGCATTGACTACAATGAAACATATGCTTCTATAGCCAAGCTTACTACCGTTCGATGTCTCTTATCCATTGCTGCGGTCCGAAAGTGGGAACTCCATCAAATAGATATAAATAATGCATTCCTACATGGAGACTTACATGAACAAGTTTATATGCTCCCCCCTCTGGGATTACTTAAGGATGACGATGCTCAAGTTTGCAAACTCCAACGCTCCATTTATGGCCTCAAGCAAGCCTCAAGACAATGGTTTGAGAAACTTGCCGTTGCACTCTATTCACATGGTTTTCAGGCCTCAAATGCAGATTGCACTTTATTTACCTTGTCTAGTCCAAACAACTTTCTTGATGTCTTAGTATATGTAGACGATCTTGTCATCATAGGCAGTGACCCCCGCCAAATTCATGCTCTTAAAAAATACTTGGGGTCATGTTTCCACATAAAAGGATCTAGGGCCACTCACTTATTTTCTCGGGATTGAAGTCTCACGAACTGAGACTGGTATACATCTTTGTCAGAGGAAATACACTCTGGACATTCTTTAGGATGTTGGAATGACTGGATGCAAGCCTAGTTCATTTCCAATGCTACAACAACACCACCTTGCATTAGCAACTAGGACGTTACTCCAAGATACATCCCAATACAAAAGACTAGTTGGATGACTAGTCTATTTACAAGCTACAAGGCCTGACATAACATTTGCTGTCAACATGCTCACACAATTCATGAGTGCACCTCGACAAGAACATTGGGACGCTGCACTTCACATTCTCAGATATTTGAAAGGCACAATTTCCCATGGCATATACTTATCTGCATCAAGTGGTTTAACACAGAGCTTATTGTGATTCAGATTGGGCCAGTTGCCCAACTACTCGACGTTCAACCACCGGCTATATCACAATGTTGGGTAGTTTTGCCCTATCTTGGAAGTCCAAGAAGCAAAATACTGTCTCAAGGTCTTTAGCAGAGGTGGAGTATCGGGCCATGGCCGCTGCAGCAAGTAAACTTCTTTGGCTGAAACGCCTCTTTCTCGACATTGGGCTTTCTCATGCCCAACCCATGCAACTATACTGTGATAATAAAGCCGCCTTATATATAGCAGCCAACCTGATATTTCATGAAAAAACCAAGCACATCGAAATAAACTGTCACTTTGTAAGAAATCTTATACAGTCCCGAACAATCATCACTTGCCATGTACCTTCAAAGATTCAGCTAGCTGATGTGCTTACCAAGGCTCTTGGTCGAGAACAATTTCACTCCTTATTGTTCAAGTTGGGCATGCTTTCTCCAACATCCAACCCATGTCTAACTTGAAGGGGAGTCTTGGCTGTATAACAAAATTAGTTAAACAGTTGTCATTCAGTTAGATAGTTGTTAAGACAGTTGTAAATCGAAGATGTACACCTATAAATATTTAACTTAAGTGTCAAACTGAAGACAATCTTTTCATTCTCAATACTCTGTCTCTGTACCATTTTACAGAAATAGTGCCACTTGCTACCATCTGTTTCAAGGCCAACACTGGTGAGACAAACCGCCTTGGAGCAGTGCCGCTTGCTAACATCTATTTCAAGGCCAACACTGGTGAAACAATCTCACCTGTCCTTCAAAGCCTGTAACCTCCGCTCTCCCCTATTTCACTATCCCCTTCTCTCTCTCTCTCTCCTTTCTCAGTTCTCAAACCTCCCCCTTTGCCTCTGTCTCTCTCAATCTCCGCTCTCTGATCTCTCTCAGCCTCCGTTCTTAGACCTCTCTTTACTTTCTCCGATCTTTCAATAAATTATTTTGTAAGTTCAATTTTGATTGGGTTCCATTGGAACGCAGTATGGGATTCCTGTTGCATGTTTAAGTTGTTTTTATTTTGAAAATTTGTAAAAGAATAAAGAGTAAAATAGTCTTTTTCATCTTTCTATTAATGACATTAACAGTAAAAGAAGTATTAGTTAATTATCAGAAACAGTAAAGATAATATGAATCAATTTTCAAACAGTAAAATATACTTAATCAATTAACTAAACCATAACAATAATTTAAAGCTAAATCATAAAAATAGTTTAAAAAATTTACCCTTTAAAACGCCCGTTAACGGTTTGGATTCGGTTAATATTAAAGATTTGAGAAAGTGGGTAATTAATTGTATGGACTGGTTGACGTAAAGAGTGTTGTGCAGTCCCCCTATGTGACCATCTTCATTTCCGTTGCCACTTGCCAGTTGCCTCCAACCACAATTAAAATTAATAAATTATGGCCAAAACCTGGTTTTATCGATATACTGTAATTATGCTGTGTAGTTAATTGACATTCTATCTTTTTATTATTTAGTTATTATCGTTCGTTAATATTTCATCAAAATTCATCCACATTTTAATTATTATTCACGCCATGAACCTTTGAATGAGAGCTCATGCAAAGGAACGTTGAGTCCGCTGGAAACAGCTTCCGCTACAATTACATGATGAAATTTTTTATCAATTCAGATTTATTTTTTTAAAATTTAAGGAACAATGGAAGATAAATTTGATATTTTATTTCTTTCTGTTAATATTTAATGATGATGTTAAAAATAGGATCAAGATTAAAAATATAGATAGAATCAAGGTTAAAAATATTGATAGAATTAAGGTTAAAATTAACGATGATGTTATAAAAACAATAGGGGTACTTTAAGACAATAACAGTAAAGATAGGATATCGATATATCCGATATGTTAGTAGTGACCTGTTAAGCAGTATCAATAGCTTCTTTTTTTTTTTTAATTTTTTTCCAAATCTAGCTAAGAAGAATGGGTTTAAGGCCATCTACTCTCTAAGATGATGTTTGGAAGTGTGGACGCTTTTTGAGACCGATTTTCAAGAAAAAATGCTAATGCTTTCAAGACCTGTTTTTTATAGGGATTTCTACGCTTAACCGACCTCCATAAAAAAAAACACTTTTACAATTTAAGCAATGATCAACACTATGCTGTTTGGTAAGGTAATTTTCATCACCGTTTTTTCATGTATGTATCGATAGATAAACACCATATAAGATACACATCGATAGAGTCCCGATTTACAAAACATGTCCAATTTTTCAATAAACGTGTAAACCAAATATTCATATATATGGACATTTATTGAAACATGTATGTGGATCTGACGTGATACCGTTATTTTTATTTTAAATACGGCCACTCCTAAATTGGTCAAAATCTCAAAACACCCACGGTAAAAATGTATCGAAGAACCACCGATATAATATTTGAACGTCAGATAGAATTAGTCAATTAAGTAAATAAAGATAGTTCAAGAAATTTGCCCATGGTCAAAACCTGGTTTTATTTATTTATCACTTTCCGTCTTCACCAATTCAATAATTCATATACCCGAATCGATTCTAGATAGAGACTGGACTGTACTCAATAAATAAATAAAATTAAATATTTTTTTGGGGCTTTGGGAGTATATAAATATATATTTTGTGAAATCCATCTAGTCCAGTTAATTGCGTTGAGGTTCAGCCCAGAAAAGCCCCCCAAAAAGATTAAAAAAAAAAAAAAAAAGAATGTGTCCGTTGTTACGAAAATCGTTTTAAATGGGTGGTCCTTCTCAAGAACCGCCACGTAGTGACTAATGACAAAAAATCCTTCTCCCTTCCCCATTTCCCATATTTGTAATTTTGTATGTATCTCTTCTCTCTTCTCTACGACGATCAACGGCGGAGATGGCTGAACCCCTACTAAGCCCTTTACGTTACGACGGTTACGTTACTACCACACCACTGGATATTTCCGGAGTTTTCGCTAAAAAGTCGCGGACTCGCGGGGGAGGGTGTTATGTGTGATGTGAACATGTGAACAGGTGAACAGTGATGGGGGGTGGTGGTGGTCCCCACACAGTCTCTCCCCTGACCCTGTTATCCATGTGAAAGAGCGAGTAATAGACAGACGTACAAATGGGGGCCCACATACCGTACGGTGAGGGAGCAGTCCGGTGCCGCACAGCTTTCACGAACGGCTTTGTACTTTACATTTTACATTTTGGACACACTCAGCACTCAGGAGTCAGGACGAGGGCCAGGCCCAGGAGGGTACTGCACTGCACCTGTTAATTTGATAACTTACTTTATTAATTAATTAACGGGGCACAATTGTATATTTCCACTTCTACCCCCCATGTTGGCCCGGACCTTGCATCCACAATTATCAACTTTACCCCTTCTTCACAGTTTAACATGGGTGTTTTAAGTCATTTCAACGTAAGGTGGTCCGCAACTCCGCATTACATCACTGACACCCCTCTCTCTCTCCCTCTCTCTCTCTCTCTACCTCTCTCCCTTCTTCCCTGTCTAGACTCTAGATCGAGGTTGAAGAAGAAGAACTGAACAAGGCAGGTACGATTCAGTGGAGGTGTTTCTTCGACAAGGTCTCTACTTCCTCTTCCCGGTCTTTGCATATTACAATTTCCTCTTCTCTCTCTCTCTCTCTCTCGGTGCTCATGCTTCCGCTGCAACTAACTTTTGAGGAATAACTGGGTTCACACTCATCTCTTCTCTACTGGGTGTTAAGCAGACAAAGCAACGAAACGATGCAAGCGAAACAGAAACGTCTCCGCCGGAACACCCGTCTCGTTTCATCGCAGCTCCTCTTCTTCACCACCACCCACCAACTTCTTCTCCACCTTCGTGTCGTCTTCTTGTTCGTTCCTACCTAAGTTCGCTCTCTGTCTAAGCGGGACCAACCTCTATCATGACTATCACCATGAAGAAACCTAAATCCACAATCTTCATTCCTTCTCCTTCATTGCTAACTGTCCTAACCGAAGATCTACTTTTACGAGTACTCGACAACCTAATTGACAGCTCTCATCGGAAAGCATGGCGTTTGGTCTGCAAATGCTTCCTCAGACTAGAATCTCTTCATCGCAAGGCCCTTCGAGTCTTCCGGCACGATTCGCTGCCGAATCTCCTTCGCAGGTACCGACTTCTTGAACTTCTCGACCTGTCCGTCTGCCCCCGTGTTGACGATGGTACGATAGCGTTCTCTTTTGGGGCTGAGCCTGGGGGGTTTTGTTGGACCCGGAGACTGACAAAGTTGGTTCTCTCTAGAGCCTGTGGATTGAGATCGAGTGGGTTGGAGGTGGTGGTGAAGTCGTGCCCGTCTTTGCAAGAGATCGACCTCTCTTATTGCCTGGGGCTTGGGGATCGGGAGGCTTCTGCTCTATCGCGTGCTACAGGATTGAGGGATTTGAAGTTGGTCAAGTGTTTGGGTGTGACCGATGTCGGATTGGCGAAGATAGCCATCGGTTGTACTAAGTTGGAGAGGCTTAGCCTCAAATGGTGCTTGGAGATAACCGATCTTGGAATTGAGCTTCTTTCGAAGAAGTCTACGGGCTTGAGATCTCTTGATATTTCTTATCTCAAGGTATTATTCGATTGTTCGTCTGTTCGTTCATTCTTTGTCGTGTTATTTTCTTGTTTAATTTTCTGGGTTGTTCTTAGGTGACGAACAACTCATTGCATTCAATCTCCTATCTCCGAAAGCTAGAATCGTTATCGGTGGTTGGGTGCTCCTTTGTGGATGACGATGGATTGCTTTTCCTCAGAAACCGGAATCCTCATCTTCAGGTTTATTTTAGTTATTTTACATCCTATTTACTCTTTTTTCTCCAACTTTTAGTCTGCAAATCAATAAAATCAAATGGTTTTTTTGGAGGAAATTGCTCTATTTTCTCCAACTTCTGGGTTCCGATCCTTGCCCGAAATAGGGGTTTCAATTATGTTTCTTTTTCACATCAGCTCTGAAACTCATTAATGAGGGTTCGAGAAATCCCTGATAATTACATAAGGTCTATTGACTCCTAATACGATAGTTTGCGAACAGAGCATGTCACACTATTACATTACTATTTGTAGCAAGAGAGGGTTGAATTCCGTACATGGAAATGCCAACTGCCAAATGCCATAAAACAATTGAAGAAAAAGATTTTACAAAGAACGGAGAAAGGGGATTTAGGGTTCATGATTTTTTATTTTGTTTTAACAAAAGGGGCAATTTTTCACGGGTTGCAGAGTATTGATGTATCAAGGTGTGAGAATGTGACATTATCTGGCTTAATCTCGGTAGTTGAAGGGCACGAAGAGAGTCTGCTTCAGCTTGGTGCCGGTTACTGTTGTTCTGTAAGTATTTCCTAGCTTTGCGAAAAATCTTTTATTCGTTAACATTGTTTCTGTGCGGTTCTGAATTTGGAACATGGATAATTTGATTTAACAGGAATTTGCCGCACCTTTTCTCAACCAATTGAAGGAGTTGAGAAATCTGAAATCGATTAGAATTGATGGGGCTCGAGTAGATGATTTCAGCCTTGGGACCATTGGGGCCAATTGCAAACACTTGGTTGAAGTTGGGCTGAGCAAGTGTGCCGGGGTGACAGATGGAGGCATAGCTGAGTTGGTTGTGGGTCATGCCAATTTGAAGGTCCTTGATCTCACCTGTTGCCATCTGATCACTGATGCATCATTGTCTGCCATCTCGGCTTATTGTACCAAGCTTGTTTGCCTCAAGTTGGAGTCCTGCGATTTGATCACACAGAAGGGGCTGGAGCAGCTCGGATCAAGTTGCTCGCTACTGGAGGAGCTGGACCTCACTGATTGTAGTGGCGTAACTGATATGGGTAGAGCTTGAAATTTGAATGGAATGCTTGCTTGACAGCCATTTCTGTGCAAAATTAGTTCAAAATTTTAAATTCAGTTCTCCTTATTTGCAGGGCTCAAGTGTTTATCTACATGTTCCGAGCTCCTCTACTTGAAACTAGGACTTTGTGTTAACATATCAGACAAGGGTCTACAACATGTGGCATCAAAATGCACCAAGCTTCGTGAACTTGATCTGTACCGGTGGGGTGCCTACCTGCTGACGGTTGGTTTCCTTTTTTGCATGCCATTTACCATATAATGAAGACGATCTTTGATTTATTTGTTACAGCTGCACGGGCATCGGAGATGATGGACTAGCAGCTGTGTCAACTGGCTGCAAGAAGCTGAAGAAGCTCAACCTATCATACTGCATGGAGGTCAGTGATAGAGGACTCAAATATATAAGCAACCTCAGCGATCTACAGGACCTCGAGATGCGGAGGCTGTTAAAGATCTCAAGCGAGGGGTTAATGGCAATTGCTGTGGGATGCAAGAGCCTGTCGGAATTGGACATAAAACGTTGCTACAACATTGACGATGTGGGTTTGTTGGCTCTTGCCCAGTATGCATGCAACCTCCGACAGGTTGATAACCTGATTCTTGGTCAAAATTTTCCTGAGGATTTGCTTTACTTGAAGAGTTGAAGTAGAGAAATGAATGGGAAATCCAATATAAACTCTAATAAGATTTTTTTTTTTGATGCAGATAAACTTGAGTTATTGTCCAGTATCAGATGCGGGGCTGTTTATGGCGATGAGGAACTTGAAATGCCTTCAAGATGCCAAGCTGGTGCACCTTGCCCATGTCTCGTTGGAGGGGTATGAGCTGGCCCTAAGAGTGTCCTGTGGGAGACTCAAAAAGTTGAAGCTGGTTAGCACCCTCAAGGACTTACTGTCATCCAACTTACTGCAGATCCTCAAGGCCCAGGGTTGCAAGATTAGATGGATGGAGAAGGCCTTGATTCTGGTTTAGAATGTAGAATGCGAGAACAAATTAAACAGTTTCTATTTCGAGCTTCTGGTGTACATTCGGGTCTAATGACTAGCTCCATTTGTCAGTTCTCTATTAGAGGATTCCAGTTCGGTAGTTTCTGAATGGTTGAACTTGGCACGAGGACAAGAGAGACAAGTTAATGCCTTCAATACTTTCCAATTCGATGGCTTGTTTGATTTTTTAAAGGTTCCGCTGTATTCCACCTTTTGTATTTGCATGCGATGAACGAGAACGTGAGACATCTAATCTATTTTCCTCAGGTTCAAAATATCGGGCGTATCGGCCTGTATCAAGGCTCATTTCTCCTTTTTTTTTAGTTATATTTTTTGAACTTGGTTCAGAGGGGTTGGTTTAGTCTAAAGTCCGTGACAATGAACTGGTTGAAGAGGTAGACGAGGACCTAGAAGGAAAGGAGTTCTCCATTGATTCAAATGCTGAGACAAACAGGCTGGCAGGGTCGCTAGAAGATAAAACAGGAGAGTTTAATTAMAGAAATAGCAGGCACAAAAATGAAGAATTAAAATACAAAAACCTACCTCAATATCAATATCAGAATTCAGTGGGAAGAGGCTTTATGCGGCCAATTGCATATAACAGATTTCAGTCTCGGTTCTTTCCAAGAAAAAGAAGCTTTACAAGTATGCCAAACCCAACATGGTCACGAAGTCCCTTTAACTCTTTCCTTTATATACAGTCCCCTCGCTCAACAATCTGTTGCTGTGTTATTTCTGTATGAACCTTGAACAAACTAATGAAACCAAGGAATAAATACAAATAACCAAAATCTACATATGGAATCCACTGGATTCTTAACCTCGAGGAAAAGCGAAACATGGGATAAAGCAGGAATCTGATACATAATTGTCGGACTTCCTCCAGGTGGACAAATTCCTCCTTGTTGAATGTTTTAACATTCAAGTAATCTTTGGTTCTCCGATGAACTTGGCCAACTGCAACCCGTAGACCAGCCAAGAACGCCAAGGATCAGGTCAACACTGGAACAAGCATTTACCTGAGGGAAAAACAAAGATCTTCAGAGAGGTGTATCATAAAGAACGGTGGCACAAACATGAAAGCTTATCACTCAGTCATACCAGACTGTCTAGATTCCCTTGAATGTGAAATAGCATGACACCCATTCCCCTTATTCTGTCAATCTCTGCCTGCTCATTAAAGGTATGTTAGACCATCCATATTAGAGATGTTCGCAGCCTAATTGACGAGTTTGGATGGGCTCCTCACATAGCACGCCAGCACGCCCAACAGCCCGTCCCCTGTGCATTAGGAACATCTCTCATATTTGTCATGGGCAAGGTTCAAAATACCGATACACCCGATATGCCGATATGGGCGTATCGGGCGAATCGATACAGCTTTTGATGCTTTTCTTTTTTTATTTTTTTTCGCAACCAGTTCAGGGGGAACGGTTTAGGGCTCCACCCCCTGAACCGGTCAGACCTCTGATACACCCACTGTAAGGGCATATCAGAGGGGTCCCGGAACAATACGTATCGGCCGATACGTGTCGATACTTTGAACCTTGTCATGGATGGAAGATGTTCCCAATGCACGGGGGATGGGCTGTGGGGCGTGCTTCGTGGGGAGCCCATCCAATTATCCAAATTCCTAATTGACCAACATTAACAAGCAACAGGCCTCTGAACACCAACTCGTGACTCACCACACAAGAACAAATAGAGATACCCACAGCTGTCAGCACTGATGTAACCTCTGCCATCATACCTGAAATTTTGGTGAAAACCAATTCATACTTCAAAATGTGAATAATGAAATGTACACAAGATTGAAAGAGATGCCGGGATCCCACAAACTCACAATGGTCTACGGTTTAAAAAAACGAGGAACGATGGAACATTAAACACTGTCATTGAGAACTGTGAGCTTACCTCTTCGATCTATGCATATTACACAGAACCATTGTATTGAATGCCCTTCAAGGTTGTGCCAGGAGGCAACTTTGCCCGTTTTCCAGCTATCCAAACCAGGCAGGACTTCCCTATACATTGGAATGTTGGCATGCATCAACTCTGCAATACCATTTCCTTGAGACAAAACCTCTCCTTTGCCCTTCAAGCTCATATCCTGAACATTCTTATTATGCTTCCCATTGACCTTAAGAACCCCAGCTTTACCATTATGAATGTGGAGAGGATCGTCGTTACTTCTCTTCAAATAAGAGAGTTCTGGAACATCTACAAGGACCTTCTTCCACATTGGTTCAGTATTCTTGGGAGATTTTGAGAACTCTTCTAAATCACTTTCATCTTCAACGTCAGCCACAAAGTTATTTACAGTATCTGCTGTTATTTCAATGGCAGACAATGCAGCTTGCTCTTTCAAGAACTAGACATAAGAAAAAATTCATTAGTGGAATAGCAGCATAAAAACAAAAGAACAAGTCAATCTTAAAAGAAGTACCCACTTTTATAATCTTGTGTCTGGCACTTCGAGTTTTTGCATGTTGGAGCCATTGCTGATGCCTCCGGAAAGCAGATTTGCTTGAAAGAGCCTAGATAAACATAAAATAGATATTATGAGCCATGAAAAATAAGTTAAGATGGCCAAAGAGTTTTTCCAACCAATTTTCATAGCTTTGCAGGATGATGTCCTTCAGAAAAAGACCATATTGAAAAAGGATAAGATTTTTAGCAAATGACAGAAGATGCATGGAACCAGAAGCAAATGTTAATTGAAATGATCAATGCTATCACCAAGTTTCACTTTTTAATATCATCTAGTCCCCTTTTGGATTACTCCTTTATGCTAACTAAAGAATCCCTACACTCAGAAGAGAGAGAACCTTTTCTCATTTTTTTTTTCTGGATCACAAGGGTTTGAAGGTGATGTCTAAAAGACATAAAATTTCATTACAGGCCTTCACAAGAGGCTTTTGGGAAGTCTGCACTCTGGTTATTAGGGATTTTTTTTGATAAAATAGTAATTGTATCCATTAATTAAAAGGAGAGAGAGGTTCCCTCAAACAGTACAGAGAATTACTATCATATAGATTGTCTGAGCAGCTAAGGGAAACAAAAGGCCAATAGAAATCAAATGCCTGAATCAAAAACAATCTGCGCCTGATGAACCCTGAAATCTTTGTTTTAGCAATTATCTTCTCCCTGGGTTTGGTTTTTCTGTCAAATACTGCTTTCCTCTCAATCCAGAGGCTCCAGAAAATGGCAAATAACATCAACTTCCACAGGATATTGCCTCCGCTGCTGAGATCCAAGACTAGCCATGCTGTTATCAGATCGGACAAATGCCTAGGCATCACCCAGGATCCGTTGGGTAACTGAATGAAGTGTAGCCAAATATCATACACATAAGAATAATGCATCGAAATGTGATTCCTCGTGTTGCATAAACAGAAGACTCCTTTCTCAATCAACCTATCAATCATTAGTATTTTCTCCACAATAGCAGTCCACAGAAAGAAGGTTACCTTGGATGGAACATGAGCCTTCCAGATCCATTTCCCAGATGCAGGCTCACCCCTTGGCTCCTGCAGAACCTCATAAAATGAATTTACTTAGAAAACTCCAAACAAGGCTGCTGTCCATATTCTCTATTCTTGGTTACCTGTATAGATCTAGACCTGCCTGACCTCTCCCAGAAAAGCCATTAATCTACCAGCTTCCCGGTCAAAGATATTACACCTCAATAGGTGATACCAATATAATGCTACCAAAATTTTATTTAAGACAGAATTCTGATTTTTGATGCTTGCATTTAAAACCACTTACAAACTTACAAGTAGGCTATGATCCCAACATAACCACTGTTCCATCTGTTGCTTGCAGCAATACTGAGGAAAGTTATTAGTAACTGTTTCTTCACTACAAAATGTCAAGGCCATGGATGATTCACCTGTCTTTACATGCCCTTCAGGAAGGAAGATCAAGACCATACATACATCTAGGGTTGTCAATGGACCAGATTTGGATTGGACCCCATCTAAACCAAAATCAATTTGGATGGATTGGATGGACCAACAAGACATGTTGAATTGGACCAGTCCAGACTTATGGTCCAAAGTATTTATTGGATTGGATTGGACCTGGTCCATCCATAATGAATTTATATTGGATTGGGTTGGATTGAGCCAATATCAGGTCCATTGATAGAAGATAAGAATATAGGTGTCAATGGACCAGGTTCGGGTTAGAATTAAACTAAATTAGAACAAATTTGAACAGATTGGATAGTCCAGACATTGAATTGGACTGGTCCAAAATATTCATTGGATTGGATTGGACTTGGTCCACTTGAAATGGACTCATTGGATTGAATCAGATTGGACCAAATCCAATCCAATTGACACCCCTACATACATCTATATGGTAGTATAAATCTGTAATATACATACATGCAAAGTTCAAAATTTCATCACATATCGGCCCATATTGGTGGGTCACTAATACACTAAATAAGAAGGCTTGCGTGGTTTGACCTATTTCAGGGGGTAGACAGGCCTAATACCTACCCCCTGACGTATTTTTGATAAAAAAAAAAAAAAAAGAATGAGCACAAGGTTCAAAGTACCAATAAACCCCTTGCACCGTATCAGGGCGTATTGATACTTGAACCTTGGATACATGTACACAAGCCATAAATACACTATGGTATACAATGTCAGGCAGGCTCGAGTTGGGTCAGCCAAAACTCAGACAACCTGAGGTCCCAACCCAAAAGGGAGCACCCAAGAAATCTGCCCATATTGAAGTGGATAATATTGCTCTCATCATCAGAAAAACGAAGAGATGGTTAATAATCAACCATAGTGTAAGCACATAATGCAGTTATCCTCCGTTCTAATCACAAGTGTTCCTTTTAAAGTTGGAATACCAAACAAAAGCCCTGATCTTTTTAAGAACAAGAGGACCCCATGCCTCTTTTTGCATGGAAAGCAATTAATTTCCCCCTTTTTAACTGTAAAGTAATTTATTTCATTCAGAGAACCAAATGATACAGAAAGAAGCCCCTGTACATAGGATACATGGCCACACAAGTATACCAATCAACTGTATCATCCATGTACAAAAATAACTATACAAATAAAAAAAAGCTTCTTCCTTTAAACAATATGTGATTTACCACCCAAGGAAATTACATTCCCATTAACTTCTTTGCATAGTTGTCGAGGCGACAAGGTGCCCTTAGAGTCTTCCTCGCCTAATCGCCAAACAGTTTTCTATAGCGTGTTATAACAAACTTTTATATTCTTAATTTTTTGAGGTTATAATGATAAAACAGACATTTTTAAACTAAAATATTCATTTTGTGTGTTTATATACTAATTTCCTTTTGTTATTTTCTTATTTGTTAGGGTTTAATCAACACAACATTGCTAAATGCTGTATTGAACCCTCAAAGACTTCAAAACCTGAACCAATAAGTAAGAAAGAACATAAAATGTTGTCCAATCAACACATTTTCTTCTTTTTCTTTACTAATTTTGTCTTCTTATATACTAATTTCTTCTTCTTCTTCCACCTTTTCTTTTCTTCTTTTCCTATAAGAGAAATAGGGGTTTAGCCCCTATATTTTTCGAATTTTCTTTTCTTTCTTCTTTTTCTTCTCATGAATATGTTGGAAATATGTTGATTTTTCTATACTTTAACATGAAGTTTATACTTTTCTTATGAAAATTATGGATATTTATTAAGGAAATATGATTATGGAACCTAGGGAACTACCCTAGGATACATGTTTTGTTTTTACTTCAAAAAATCCATCGCCTAGGCTACTAGGCGACTAGGCGCCCCCCTGTTGCCTAGCCTCGCCTAGGTGCCTTGAAAACTATGCTTCTTTGTAACCTCTTCTACTGAACTCTACCTTCAAATATTCTAGCACTCCTTTCCCCCCACACTTCCCAAAATACTGCCACAGGAATGATACTCCATGCAACTCTTCCAACCTTAGACCTTTTAATTTCCAGCCTCAATAAACAAAAAAAGACTTTAGCTTAAAACATTTTAGCTTAAGATCCCAACAGTTTTAACTTAAACCATGGTTTCTGGAAGTAAACATAGACCAAATACTTTGGCTCTCCAACCTGCAAGTCAGTACTCTTTGAACACAATACCTCTCTTCTTCCTTCAGCCTATGTAATTCTTTCATTTGGCCAGATGATCCTTTTTTCTTCTCCTTGCTAGATAATATCATTGAATCTGCAGAAAAATCTCAAATACCTTTATTGGCATGGTGAAGAAAGAAAATAGACCAGGCATAAAGATAAACTGGATAGGAGTCACAGGAATTCCTTTTCATCTTTTAGGCTGTGTTTGGTTTGAAAGAAAAGGTAGGGAAAACCAGTAAGAAAATATCATCATTCCTTATTTCAGGATGAAGTGGCCACTCGAAGACTTGAACTTGCATTCTCACATTTGTCATCCCATGATTTCATTTTGCATTCAAATAAATAAATAAAAAGGGTTTCCGAATTAGGTCAATCATGAAAGTTCCATAGATAACCATCTGTTTTTGTCACATGGAGGAACCTTATGGTCAACCTTAACAGTTCATAACATAGGGGATCCTCTAAATTGAGCCACTGGAGATAAACCATAGTCCCTACTAGTACAATCCATCCAAACTTGCAAAAACTTGAGTCAGGAAGCTATGATCAGGGAAAAAGAGATTCATATAATCATACAATTCTTTAAACTGCCCTTTCTTTTGGACTTGCTGTATGGGAAAAAGAACTAATCCATAGAAAAAGAAACCAAAGTTCAAATCTTTAACTTGCTTATTTCCCCATCACATTCACCTCAGTGGGACTTTACCCTTCCTAATCATAACATTTCTTAACAACTGCACTAGCATCCTCTTTGCTGATAACATCGACAGCCACTAACACAAATGACTCGGTCATCTCTCAACTATAAACTACTGCAGTACATTCTTCAGAATTGCTCTTCTTTAACCTTCTAGTCTTTCAATGTACAATCACAATATGCATCATTTAGTAACTAAAACATGGCCATAACATTAAGCTTAACTTAAACTAAAAACATGATGACATCATCATCATCATCATCACCACCACCTAAGCCTTATCCCAACTATAAGGAGTCAGCAAAATGAATCTTGTTCTGCCATTATGTTCTGTTCAGTGGCATATCCATCATTAAAAAGCATGATGATAGAATATTTATATATTTTCTCACATGCTTTGTTTGGACATGTTCAGCAAGAGAAGCAAATAAATAACTGCCCTGGTGAGGCAGTAGTTTGTGAAAGAGAGGTTTAATATAAGAAGAGTATGAAGTTAAAACTATCATAAAAAAAAATGAGACATAGAAACCTATCTTTGTCTTCATATTGGGATGTGAGATGAAAAGTTGATATAAACAAAAGAAAATTCATGTGCTTCCAAAAGTTTGAACAGAAATTTTCTGATCAACAAGAGAGACAAGTACAAATCATTAAAAGAAAAGTTCCATAGAAAAAAAGTCCACTCCTGCAATTGTGGGAGAATGATGAGTACTAACATTATATGTAATTATCTCTACAACTTCAGCATTAGCCAGTACATGCAAAGGAGAGACAAGATTACCATTGACCTGCATCAGAAAAAGTTGCTTAGTTTCTGATTCAAAAACAATGCTAAATCAATATAAGGTGAAGCAAGGTGGAACAAATCCAAATAACCTTTGCAGCAACCATTTTGTTGCCAATTTCAGTGTGTATCATATAAGCATAGTCAATCACTGTAGCTCCCTTAGGCAGGTTTTTGATCTGCATAACATGTCAAAAAAAAGAGTAAGAAACTTGACATCATAATATTTGAAGGTAAAATGCATGTAATTAACTGTTATCTTACCTCTCCTTTTGGAGTGAACACAAAGACACAGCTTCCTAACAAATCTCTGGTGATTGTGTCAACGAACTCCCTAGAGCTCATGTTCCCAACAAACTCCTCTTGCCATTCTCTAATAGCATTTAGCCAGCCAATCTATTGATAAACATCACATCCATAAATTACCAATTGAGACAAAGATTTGAAAGGAATTACAATGAAAATCTATCAAGAACTTGATATCAGAATGTGGTAAGGGTGATTGATCATCTACCCTGAGAGCAATGTTTGCATTGTTCAGACAGACTGTTCTTCCTCTTGAATTTCTTCCTTTGAGCATGGCATGTCCAACTAAATCAGTGACAAATACTTTCCCACTGTAGTGAGCGGCAATGCCTCTCTCAGCTATCAGATCCATCTCTTCAGTTCTTATCTGCCAAGAGTAAATAGAGATAAATATTTACAATAGATTCAAATGGCAACATTTAAGATCAAAGTACATTCAACATATTTTTCTTTATTGTTCATTTCTTCCCAAGAGAGGACAGTTTTGATATGGTACTTGGGGACTATTCTTTTTTTTGGATTTTGAGGGGGGAAAGTTGGTCAATGGGACTTTGGTTCCCATTGACCAAGATGCCCATGTTCTTTTTTCAAATCTATGTGAGGTCCATGGAAAATTTATTTTCCCTGGGTGGGTAAGTGATACCCATCTCCCAGGTGGGTAAGTAATTTTCCCACCTGGGGGGAAAGTTGCCAACACTTGTATGGGACAAAATTGTCCCTTTTAATAATGGTTTTTATGGCTAAAACATCCATTTTCTTATTTACCTGGGAAATAAAATAACATGGGTAAATGCACTTACCTGGGTAAGTATTTCCTAAGAAACACTTATCCGGGTAAATGCATTTACCTGGGTAAGTAACTTCCTGAAAAGCGAACAGGGCCTTAACAGGATGGAATGGCAAAACATGATTCATGTAGCCAACCATATATGGTTGGATAAGACTTAGATGATGATGATGATGACGACGATGATGATGATATCCAATGCATGATGGACAGATGGACATAAGTTACCTGAACTTCTAGCCGAAACATGCTCTCATACAGAAAGGGGATCACCATTGTGTGAAGACTTTGATAACCATTAGGTTTTGGGGTTGCAATGTAGTCTTTCATCTGATAAAAGGATAACCTTATATTTCTTTTCAACTTTTAAGATAGAAATTAAGAGAAACACAAAGTAGAGACAAGAAATTGTGGACTATACGCACAGCACGAGGTATGGGGGTCCAAATTCCATGGACAAGTCCAAGAACATGATAGCAAATCTGTATACAGCACAATAATCAGCAAATGGTAAATATCATGCATAAGTAGTCCAAATGACAGAACCTGAAACTTTGACATAAACAAAGATTCACCTGCTGTGCACTACATAAAGGTCCTACTCCAATACATGGCTTTGGTTTTATGATAATACGAAGCTGTTACATGAAGGAAATGTAAACAATGAATTAAGTATAATACAGATTTGTAACAGATTCTAATGATAACTCCAGATTTTTCTCAATAGCAAATCAAAACAAACCTGTGCAATTTGGTTGACCTCATTTATTGAACCTTTGGACTTCAGAACAGCTTTATAAATACTGTAACACATAATAATAGCAGTGAATAAACATAGATGCATAAAAACAATGCATCATAATCACAAACAATGATTATTAACAAAAAAAGAAAAAACATGAAAGTTAACAGACTCGCATTGAAGAAAACTACACAAAGATTGATTGATTTGAAAAATCTAGAATTCCCTAATGAAACCATAGAGGGACCAGCAGGGCAAGGGAATTTAAAACAAAGTTACAAATTCTCCCCATTTACCTTCTGAATAAAGTCTATCTTATACAATCTCCTGAGAAAAGTTGAAAACCAGTCATTGTTGAAAGTTTTGTGATAGAGTTAAGCAGCTCCTTATGCTTCAATTAATCTTAGAATTTCTTGCCCTTGAGTTCTTTTCTTATTTCCTTTTATATGCATGTCTTAAGGAGGGGTGGTATGGTTAATGTAGCATAACACTTCATCGAAGAAACAAATAATACAGGGAAAAAAAAAAGAATTCCCAAGGACTTCAGGCACATATTGATTAGTTGCCAGTTAGATGTTAGTCTGTCCTTCAAATCTGATATAAAACTGATAAAAGAAATAAGAAAAGTGAGAGAGAAAGAAAGGTTACAGGAGAATAGTAGAAGAAGAGAGTTCGATGGTTCTCTCTCTCCCTTCACTAATCTTTTATTAAACTTAATTAATCATGCTAATTACAAGTCTGCCCTTTAAGTGGGCGGCCAGCAAAGTAGTAATTTAAAAGAACTTAAAAAGAGGTTAACAGGCCCATTAAGAAAAGGCCCATTAACACATAAAACAGATATAACATTACTTAAACATAAAAGAAATATTAGGGCCCATTCAGCCTAGTCTCTCTACACTCCCCCTCAAGCTGAGCATAAATGTCAATCATGCCCATCTTGCTTATATAGTGTATCAGATTTCCTTTTAGAACACCTTTGGTCAAAACATCAACCAACTGCTCTTCTGAAGCAATAAATGGCAAGCAGACTTCCCCTGAAGCAACTTTCTCCCTTATGAAATGTCTATCAACCTCCATATACTTAGTTCTGCCATGCTGAACAGGGTTATGTGCAATGTTGATAGCTGCCTGGTTGTCACAATAGAGCATCATTGGCTTTTCATAGTCAATACCCAACTCTCCCAAAAGTGATCTTAACCACAATAATTCTGACACTCCATGTGCCATTGTCCTGTACTCTGCTTCAGCTGAGAATCTGACAACTACAAACTATTTCTTACTTCTCCATGAGACAATGTTCCCTGCCATCAAGGCACAATATCCTGAGGTGGATCTTCTATCATCAATACATCCCGCTCAGTCAGCATCAGTGTATGCCTCTAGCTTCATGTGTCCATGCTTGGCAAACAGAATACATTTCCTTGGAGTGCCTTTCAAGTAGCACAAAACTCTTTCTGCAGTTGCTAAATGTGTATCTCTAGGAGAATGCATAAATTGACTAATAACACTTACTGCATAGGAAATATCTGACCGAGTCATGTAGAGATATAACAACTTCCCGAGCAATCTCTGGAACACTCCCCTATCAGTCAACAGTTCACCATTAGTAGCAAAAAGCTTATGGTTTAGGTCTATAGGGGTAGAAGCCGATTTAGCACCAAGTTTACTAGTCTCTACAAGGAGATCAAGAACATACTTGCATTGAGAAATGAAGACACCATCCTTAGATCTAACAACTTCAATTCTCAAAAAGTATCCAAGATCCCTCAAATCTTTTATCTCAAATTCAGTGTTAAGAAATCTTTTGAGCTTAATCACTTCTTGAGTGTCATTACCCGTAACCACAATGTCATCAACATAAACAATCATAAAAGTCACCAAAGAGTTACTTCTCTTCACAAACAAAGTATGGTTAGATTGAGTCTATGTATAACCAAAAGAAACAAGGGCAGCTCTGAGTCTCTCAAACCAAGCTCTAGGGGACTGTTTTCAATTTACACACATTCCCTTGCATTTCCTTTCCATACATCCCTGGAGGTAAAGACATAGAGACCTCTTCATGTAGGTCTCCATTCAAAAAGGCATTTTTAACATTAAACCGGTGAAGAGGCCAATCAAAAGTAGTAGCTAGAAACAACAAAACTTGAATTGAAGTCATTTTAGCCACAGGAGCAAAAGTCTCAAGGTAATCAATACCATACATCTGAGTGTAACCCTTAGCAACCAATCGATTCTTAAACCACTCAATAGTGCCATCAGAATGATATTTGATAGTGAATACCCATTTACAACCCGCTGGTTCCTTCCCTTTAGGCAAGTCCACAATATCCTAGGTATGGTTCTCATGCAAAGTATCTAGCTCAGTCATCATAGCATCCCTTCATTCAAGTTTGGACAAGGCTTCTCGTATAGACCTGGGAATCACATGGGTAGAAACAAAGGCAAGAAAATAATAATAGGTAGGGGATAAAAGGTTGTAGGACAAATGTTTAGAAATACGTGTTGTACACTATCTGCTTGCCTTTGCAAAGGGCAATAGGAAGGTCAAGATTTGGGAAGGTAGTAGGTGGGTCAGACGAAGGTTGACCTGTTACCTCAGTAGTGATGGGACTGTCCCAAATCTCCTTGGCTGAGGTCATCTAGAGGTAACGCTAACTTATATGGGTCTGCATAGAGTTGACCAACCACCCAATCGCTATGTAGTTCTCCTGCATCCATTTCTCATACGCAGGGTCTGTCTCTGCAGGTTTCACCTTATTACTTGTGAGATACCCTAGTTTACCTCAACTGCAAACATAAATCCGTATGGATTGTGCCCAGGCTAGATAATTGGTTCCATCTAGTTTAATTATGGCCACACTAATCTAGTTTAATTGTGGATTGTGCCTCGGCATTTGTTTCATTTCACTTTCAAATTGCTCCATTGATCAAACAAAAATTAAAAAACTAGTTTTTCAGTCTTTATGGACCTAACTGGGGTCAGTATAGTACCTGGAGATTATAAAGCTAGGGTTTCACTACACCCGACTATCGGAGAGGAAGAGAGAAGTTGCCGCTCCTACCAGAGCTTCCCAACCTCCTTCAAATCTCAACGCACACTTCCGGGGATCAAAATACACCTCCCAAGCCCTAAGCGCCACACTCAATCCTTCTCCTTAACCTGTAACTTGAAATCTCTCTAGTCGGCTAGGGTTTTGAGCAGAAAAAATACAGTTTCAATTCCTAGCAATTTATGGCTAGATTCTAACTCTCCAAACCCTTTACCAATTAGGCAAATAGTCCTCTGACTGATCAGCAACTTATCTCTCCATACACTCTTCTAACCGTAGGGTGTATGGGAAAAAAAAGAAAAAGAAAAGTGGAGGAAGAACAGCTTTGGTACCAAGATGTGAGTCTGTCCTTCAAATCTGATATAAAACTGATAAAAGAAATAACAAAAGTGAGAGTGAAAGTAAGGTTACAATAGAATAGAAGTAGGAGTGGCAATTTTTCACCCAACCCGCTGAACCCACCCAACCCACCCAGTATCTAACCCGCCCATTTACTTGGCGGGTTGTGTGATCAACCCGTCACCCAACCCGCCGGTCCCGCCCATTTAAATGGGTTGGGTTGGGTTGGGTTGTGGATAACCGTTGTTAACCATTATAGACATTAGTATTAATTCCTTAGCCTTTTTCTTATTTTCTTCATTTGAATTAAATAATTTATAATTAATGCATTAATTTTCTATTAATTATTGACTAAATTTAGTTGTCTTAAATCAACACATTCACCCAACATAAATCCAAATCAATTTGACCCAAGTCCGGACCAGTTCAACGCGGTCTGACCCGATCCAACACATACCAATCCGAGTCGACTCGAATCCAAAATAGACCTTGGATGGGATGGCTTGATACCGCTTGCTTTGCCTGGTTTGGGTCGTCCGGTCCAACCATTATTCAAACTGCCCGGGTCGACCCAAATCCGAAACGGGTCGGACCGGGTGGGGTCCGAACCCTAAACCGCCCCGCTTGCTTTGCCCAATTTGGTTCATATCTGTACAACCCGACCCGAATCTGTCCCAGCCCAATTTACTTCTTTTGACCCGCTTCGGGCCAATTGGTTTGGCCCCAAACCCGTGCACAAACCTGATATGAGCCGACCCAAGTCAATCCACCATTTGACTAAACCGGTCCGGTCTGGTCTGACCAAATTGAACTGTCCCAGTCAGGATCTAGCATGACCGAACTGAACCGGTCCAATCGGGTCGGGGTCTGGTCCAACTGGACTGAACCAGTCCGATCGGGTTTTGTCCGACCAGACTGATCCGGATCTAAATGGTTCAACCACTCTTGAACTTGATGCGATTACCTCGAAGACAATCTAATTAGATAGTTCAAGTTGGTCTGACCGGTTTGAACCTATGTGGTTTGTCAAATCCGAAACCCGAACATAGTTAAATGGCTTTACTGCTTGTATAAAAATAACATGCATGTAATGTAATTTGAACCTTCACCACTTGTGTAAATAGCAACTACTATTACCACTAAGCTATGACTAACTTATTTGTTAAAAAGGAGTTAATTTTTTGTTTTAAGTACATAAATATAAGATTAATGGGTTTGGGCGGGTTTGGGTTGAACCCAACCCATTTAATTTTATATAACTGGGTCATTGACGGGTTGGCGAGTTAAATGGGTTGGGTTGAAACTCAACCCAAACCAAACCCAACCCAACCCAACCCACCCAATTGCCACCACTAAATAGAAGAAGACAGAGAAGAAGAAGAAGAGAGTTTGATGGTTCTCTCTCCCTTCACTAATCTTTTATTAAACTTAATTAATCATGCTAATTATAAGTCTGCTCTTTAAGTGGGCGGTCAGCAAAGCAGTAACTTAAAAGAACTTAAAAAGAGGTTAACAGGCCCATTAACACATAAAACAGATATAACATTACTTAAACATAAAAATATATATATATATATTAGGGCCCATTCGGCCTAGTCTCTCTACACAGTGTTGCAAGAGAAGCATGAAGCTTAAACCATAAGGGAAAGCTCAGGGAAAACACTTGAAGACGATGACTTTAATGACTCATGTCACAAAGCATAGAAGGGTTATTGATAACTAGCCAATAATGCAGTTTCTGGGTGATATAAACGAAATGAAACAACTTCTTAAGATTGATTTTTTTTATATAAAATGATGATTAGCCATTCTCTTTTATTTCTTCTTTTCTATATACAAATGAGAGAAGTGGTAGATGCAGAATTGCCATGCAATTATGGGTTTAGAGGGAGAGAAAAGATAATATTAAAAGTCTTAACTCTAGATCCTGCACAAGGGATAAACTGTGCTACTCTTGATTTATTAGAAAATATAAATGGGATCAAACCGTTAATCATGGAATCACCATACAGCAACACTTGAAGGAAAGATTGTATTAAATTGTCAAAAGAGTTTGCATGATATTTATAATGCCGATTTGAATTTATATATATATATATATATATATATATATATATATATATATAATGGTAAAATCTAGGGGCCATTGCTTGGTGTAATGGTAAAATCTCTAGCTGGCAAGTGTGAGAACGTACGTTCGAGTCTGAGCAGCCACTTTATGCAAAAAAAAAAAAAGAAAAAAAGCCAAAGTTTAGGTCTGTATCCAGTCCACCCCTCCCAAGACCCAAAATTGGGTAATGGCTTTTATATATTAAAGCAAAGCCCTCAGACAAGAGGGCTTCCCCTTCAAGCATGCTGCTAGCCTCTTATTCAGAAAAACAGGTAAATAAAAATTCACTACAGATCCATTAGTAACAAATCAAATCTAATTTAGTTTCCTCACTCAAATACACCTGTTTTACATTTCATGATTATTATAGAATATATTAGTAGATCAGTTTCTCTGAGTCATGACTAATCAGACTTCCAATTTCTCCAAAGTATTAAAACACTACTACTGAACTTGATAAAGTTCCTGAAGGTGTAAAGTCTCTTGAAATTTCATGATCGTGTCCTTAACTCCTAGCCTTTTATTTGGCAATAGCTAAACTATCTTAGGAATATTCCTAACTGATGACATGTAACCACTCAGTTATATTTGGCAAATTGTATATCCACCGTTTGGTACAGATACATGAAAAAATGCATTCATCATGTCTCATATGATGTATAAAATGATTACGTCAAACTTGAAGTTACAAGTTGTCTCCTAGCACAATTAACCATCTGAAGATTCTGAACATCCCATTTATTTGGTAGCATATCATGCAAACCCTACAACAACCTTATAGTAACAACTTTAGCATAGATTGTGGCTATCAGCATTTTTTGGGGGATATTACATATTACACATTACAGGAGATTAAGGGGTGGGTTTTTTTTTCACTAAGTAGGCCAAAATTAGTTTTAAAGCATATAAAGAAATAGAGCTGAGGAATATTTCTTAACCTGTAAAGTTCCTTACATACAGAGCGGACTTCTGTTTTTACAGTCATAAGATCCAAGAACTGATCATCCTCAATTTTCTTTGTTAGAATTCTCTTTGCCTGGAACAAGGAAAAAGGAGTTCATCAACAAGAAAACCATAACCCAGAATGATTGGATAATACTTGGGATTTAACATCTTCCTGGTCCTGATATTAAACATTAAAACCTTGTTGATAGCAATACAAATAATACCTCCAAGAGTTCCTTTTCATGCTCTTTATAAAGGTCAGCGACTCTTCTCTTAACATTAGCATAATCATGGGCATTCATGTACATGAAAGATAAATTCTCCAGTTCTGACTGCAGCAAGTCATCACAACATATATGTTTAAAAAGTTGAAATTTCTCTGACCAGAAAAGAAAATCATGAAGCAGGTACAAAGGAATACAAGATAAATAGGTAACCGCAATGTGAAAGACATGATAAATTTTATGGTTCAAGACAGATGGCAAGGGAAGGAAATTTTACAGCTTTATATGTTCAATATTGAATTCAGTAAAACCCAGGCCCTTCTGGGTTAGGTGGGGTATTGAGGAATGAAGTCGGGAATGTGATAATTATCTTCTCAGGTCCTTTAGGAGTGGGAGACTACTAGAGCAGAAATGTTAGCTGCCCTGCAAGGTGTACAGTTTGCAGCCCAATTACGGGTGGAACAGCTAATAGTTGAAGGTGACTCAAAGGTTGTAATAAGCTGGTTGCAGGACCCAGAGTCAGTAGTTTGGTGCTTCAGGAATGAAACTAAAAGTTTAAGATGCTGACAAGAAACATGGACCTAAGAATACAATGGGTTGGGAGATCAGCAAATGCTATGGCGGACTATCTAGCCAAGCAAGGGGCAGCTAGGGAAGTTTTGTATTAGGCACAACTGTAACTTATTGCTTTTGTTTTCTTCTTTAGTGGAGAGATCACAGCTCGTGCCTCTCCGAAGGCTGCTTGTATGTGCTAACATTTCCAAATTAATAAAAGGTTCATTTATTTATCAAAAAAAAATATTGAATTCAGTAAAACCGAGACCAACATTAAAGAAAATAGCTTAATGCCCTGGTACAACAGTATCAGATACTTTTCCAAGGACCTGAAGCCAGAATTCACCATTATACAAGTAGATAAAGCAATGGTGGAGTGGGTATTTCTTAATGTATTATTATAACCTAGGATGGTCAAAATTTAAAAGAGAGGGAGGACTATAGAATCAGTTGTGCAGTAGGATACTGATCTCAAATTATGACTGGATGATCACAACAGGTTAATGACAAAAATATTATCAGCATAAATTTGCAGGATTGGATGTGAGCATGGAAGCCAATCTAGAACTCAAAAGCAAAAGATAGGCACTTGTCTTTCTAAGATGTGGTTTAAGGGCTCAAACCTTAATTTGGTACATTCCCAGTAACTTGGCCAGGGGGGCAAAAACCTGCAATGTCTCCAATGCAATACTGGACTACAAACAGCAAGATATCAACTTTAGAAACAATACTACTAGACAGCACATTGGCATCAAAATTGAGGATGGTAATACCTGCTTATGTGGAGGCATATATGAAAGTGTACGCATATTATGTAACCTGTCAGCTAGTTTGACAATAATTACCCGAACCTGAAAAAGGTTTCTGGATTAATGGCCAACAGAGGTGGTCCTATTGTTGATTGATACAAATACATTTTCTATAAATAGATACAAATACAATAAATGAAGGAGAAAAAATAAAGAAAATCACCTCTTCTGTCATGGCTAGAAACATCTGCTGCAGGTCATCAGCTTTTACATCCTGGGCTGTACTGTTCTCATTTTTATATTGAAGTTTACCCAGTTTGGATACCTGAATTACAAAGACCAAGGATATCAACCCAATTTTTAGAAACTTATCCAAGTTGTTAGAAGTCATATGTGTGATGAACTGTAGGATATAAATGGCAATTATATATTTCTTTTATTACTCAAGTGGGGAATTGTTGGAAAACGTGGGGTTACTGGTTCAGATCTGAAAATAGAATTGTATATATTCCTAGGATTGTGGAAGGATTGATTTAGAAA